AATGGAGTTCTAGCAAAATATTCATGTTTTTTGTCGACTAGTACAGTGGAATTGGCCGAAAACAGGGCTCAAAGTGGGCAAAATCGCTGATGCGTAAACCTGTCGAGACCGCTAACTTCGCGAGAGCATAATTCCGTAAGTTTTCCATCAAATTTCATACTTTTGGTGTCATTATGATCGGGAAAAGATTCTCTATCTTTTCATATATATATATATACAGTGGACCCCCGGTTAACGATTTTAATCCGTGCAAGAGGGCTCATCGTTATGCGAAATAATCGTTATGCGAATGAATTTTCCCCATAAGAAATAATGGAAATAAAATTAATCCGTGCAAGACGCCCAAAAGTATGAAAAAAAATTTTTTTTACCACATGAAATGTTAATTTTAATACACACAAACTGAAAAAGGCATGCACAATTAAATGACACTTACTTTTATTGAAGATCTGGTGATGATTGATGGGATGGGAGGGAGGGAGAGAGTGTGTTAGTGTTTAGAAGGGGAATCCCCTTCCATTAGGACTTGAGGTAGTAAGTCCTTTTTCTGGGGTTACTTCCCTTCTTCTTTTAATGCCACTAGGGCCAGCTTCAGAGTCACTGGACTTCTTTCGCACAAGATATCTGTCCATAGTGGCCTGTACCTCTCGTTCCTTTATGACTTGCCTAAAGTGTTTCACAACATTGTCAGTGTAATAATCACCAGCACGGCTTGCAATAGCTGTGTGAGGGTGATTTTCATCCATGAAGGTTTGCACTTCAAGCCACTTTGCACAGATTTCCTTAATCTTTGAAGTAGGCAACTTCTTCAATTTCTCTCTCCCCTCCTCCGAAGCAATTTCCTCAGGTGTGGCCTCTTGCTCTTGAAGTTGATCTAGCAGCTCATCAGTGGTTAGTTCTTCATTGTCCTCCTCCACCAACTCTTCCACATCCTCCCCACTAAACCTCCAACCCCAAGGACTTTCCCAATGCCACAATGGATTCCTCAACTGGCACAGGATTCTCAGGGTTAGCCCAAAACCCTTCAAAATCCCTTTTGTCTACACATTCTGGCCACAGTTTCTTCCAAGCAGAGTTCAAGGTCCTCTTTGTCACTTCCTCCCAAGCCTTACCTATAAGGTTTACACAATTGAGGATATTAAAGTGATCTCTCCAAAACTCTCTTAGAGTCCAGTTGAGTTTCTGAGGTCATTACAAAGCACCTTTCAAACAGAGCTTTTGTGTACAGTTTCTTGAAGTTGGAATAACCTGCTGGTCCATGGGCTGCAGGAGAGGAGTGGTATTAGGAGGCAAAAACTTCACCTTAATGAAGCTCATGTCCCCATAAAGTCGCTCTGCCACGTCTGTAGGATGACCAGGGGCATTGTCTAACACCAGGAGGCACTTAGTTCTAATTTCTTTTCAGTTAGGTAATTTTTCACATTGGGGGCAAATGCATGGTGTAACCAGTTATAGAAAAATCCCTAGTGACCCATGCCTTACTGTTTGCCCTCCACAGCACACACAAATTATCCTTGAGGACATTCTTTTTGCCTGAACGCTCTGGGAGTTTCAGAGTGATACACTAATAAAAGGCTTCACTTTGCAATCACCAGTAGCATTGGCACACATCAACAAAGTAAGCCTGTCTTTCATAGGCTTATGTCCTGGGAGTTGCCTTTTCCTCCTGAGTAATGTAGGTCCTGCTTGGCATTTTCTTTCCAGAACAGGCCTGTTTCATCACAATTAAACACTTGTTCAGGTTTCAGTCCTTCAGTTTTCTATGTACTCCTTGAATTCCTGCACATATTTTCAGCCGCTTTGTGGTCCGAACTGGCAGCCTCACCATGCCTTATCACACTATGGATGCCACTACGCTTCTTAAATCTCTCAAACCAACCTTTGCTGGCCTTAAATTCACTCACATCATCACTAGTTGCAGGCATTTTTTTAATTAAATCCTCATGCAACTTCCTAGCCTTTTCACATATGATCGCTTGAGAGACGCTATCTCCTGCTATCTTTTTTCATTTATCCACACCAATAAGAGTCTCTCAACATCTTCCATCAATTGCGATCTTTGTTTCGAAAACACAGTTGAACCTTTGGCAAGAACAGCTTCCTTGATTGTCTTTCTGGTGCCCACAATAGTAGCGATGGTTGATTGGGGTTTCTTGTACAGCTTGACTAGGTCGGCTATACGCACTCCACTTTCATACTTATCAATTATCTCTTTCTTCATCTCTATAGTAATTCTTACCCTTTGAGGTGTAGGGTTGGCACTAGAAGCTTTCTTGGGGCCCATGGTCACTTATTTTCCAGAAACAGCACCGAAAATACTGTAATAATACGAAATATTCCGAGTGTATGCTTGGATGTTACCGCGGAGGCTGGCTGGTAAACAATGGGACGGAGCGGCACATGTGAGGCTGGCTGAGGGCACATTGACGCGTCTCGACGAAAATCGGTATGCGGGTTTTTAATCGGTATGGCGGCAAAAATTTTGCGATAAAAGTAATCGTTATGCGGAAAAAAATCGCTATGCGATGCCATCGTTATGCGGGGTCCACTGTATATATATATATATATATATATATATATATATATAATATATATATATATATATATATATATATATATATATATATATATATATACATATATACATATATATATATTTTTTAAATTTGGCCGACCCTGAGAACGAGTCTCGGAGAGGGCCTGTCAACCCTAAGAGTGAACTTATTTATTATTGTCTTCAGACTAAAAATATTTATGGTTGTGCCTTATTAATTTTTATTTTTCTACTTCTTCTTTGTTTTTATATACAGTGGTCCCTCAATTTTCATCCTTAATCCGTTCCTGGAAGTGGGACTATTATCGAGATAGACGATTTTCGAATCAATTTTCCCCATAAGAAATAATGTAAATCCAATTAATTCATTCCAGGCACCCAGAAGTATCAACAACATTTTTTTTTTTTTTTGCCTAAAAGATAGATTTACATGTACAAAAGAATGAACTTTCAACATGACAGTTACCTTTATTGAAGGCTGTTGTTGATGAATGGAAGACAGGGAGGAGGAGAGAGGGAAGAGAGGTTATTGTTTGGAAGGGAAATCCCCCTCCATAAGGACTCTAGGTCACTTCAGGGGTCACTTCCCTAGCATAAATATAGATTTACATGCACAAAAAAATGCCAAATAAATGTAAAGCACTAATAGAATGTATAAATGAACATTGGTAATAGAGGTAGTTGATGAGTGGAACGGTCTGCCTAGTAGGGTGATCCAAGCTAAAACATTGGGTAGTTTCAAATTTAGGTTGGATAAATACATGAGTGAGAGGGGTTGGATTTGAGTCGGACTTGCACCTGAACTTATTGCTTGGGTAGCATTTGTTCTGTTAGTGGGTTGGATTTGTGAAGGACCTGCCTAGTATGGGCCAACAGGCTTATTGCAGTGTTCCTCCTTTCTTATGTTCTAAAAGCTATGGTTTGGGTAGTTTCAAATTTAGGTTGGATAAATACATGAGTGAGAGGGATTGGATTTGAGTCGGACTTGCACCTGAGCTTATTGCTTGGGTAGCATTTGTTCTGTTAGTGGGTTGGATTTGTGAAGGACCTGCCTAGTATGGGCCAACAGGCATGTTGCAGTGTTCCTACTTTCTTAAGTTCTTAAGTTAACACATCATCCGTTTCCTTCCAAGGCAGGGTGGCCTGAAAAAAAAAAACTCATCATTCACTCCTTCACTGTTTTGCCAGAGACATGCTTGCACTACAGTTATAAAACTGCAACATTATCACCCCTCCTTCAGAGAGCTTGCACTGTACTTCCCATCTGCAGGAATCAAGTCTGTCCTGCCGGTTTCCCTGAATCCCTTCATAAATGTGACATTGCTTACTCTCCAACAGCACGTCAAGTCCTAAAAACCATTCGTCTCCATTTGCTCTTATCCAACACACTCACGCTCGCTTTCTGGAAGTCCAAGCCCCTCACACACAAAACCTCATTTACCCCCTCCCTCAAACCTTTCCTAGGCCGACCCCTACCCTGCCTTCCCTCCACTACAGATTTATAGACTCTTTAAGTCATTCTGGTTTGTTCCTTCTTCTCTGCATGCACAGACCATCTCAAAAACCCCTCCTCAGCCCTCTGGATAATAGTTTTGGTAATTCTACACCTCCTCCTAATCTCCAAACTACGGATTCTCTGCATTATGTTCACACCGCACATTGCCCTCAAACATGACATCTCCACTGCCTTCAGCCTTCTCCTTGTTGCAACATTCACCACCCATTCCTCACACCCATGCAAGAGTGCTGGTGTAACTATACTCTCATACATTCCCCTCTTTGCTGTCATGGATAAAGTTCTTCGTCTCCACAGACTCCTCAGTGCACCACTCACCTTTTTCCCCTCGTCAGTTCTATGATTCACCTCGTCTTTCATAGACCCATACATTTATTAAACATACATTCATACACTCATACATTCATAGACACGTACATTTATTAAACAAAAATGCCAACCACTCCTACACTATATTCCCCCGTTTTTAACATTTCTGTCGCGATCCCATCGGTTCCAGCTGGTTTACCCCCTTTCATTCTACATAATGTCTCACACACTTGCCCCACACTCACATCTTACTCTTTTTCATTCCTAAAAGATATACCTCCCTGGCCAGTGTATGAATTTACTGCCTCCCTTTCTTCATTGATACTTAAAAGTTCCTCAATACTTCCAGCTCCCCATCTACTGACTCCCCTACTCTGTTTTTAACTGACAAATCCATTCGTTTCCTAGGCTTTCGTAACTTGTTTGTCTCTAGAAATTTTCTCAGCAAAATTTCTTGACAATGCCTCTCCCACTCTATTATTTGCTCTCGTTGTGCACTCTCCACCACTCTCTTCAACTTTCTTATACTCTCCCTTCTTATATCACTTCTGCTTTGTAAAAACCTCTTATAAGAAGTTGTATGTGCTGTTTATTTCCATATTGGTATCATTCATGTCACAGGAGATGCAGTATGTGATTCCATTCGTGGCTAAGGTGATGGAATCCTGTGCCAAGAGCCGAGTGTTCAAGCCGCCAAATCCATGGACCATGGCTATTATGAATGTATTAGCTGAACTTCACAAGGAACCAGAAATGAAACTACATCTTAAATTTGAAATTGAGGTGCTATGTAACAAGTTGGAAATCAATCTGGAAGTAAGTTTTATTATTTTTTTATGTCAAATGGCAGTGATGTTAAAAGTGTAATTACAGTATAACTTTATTTCAATCTTCTGTTGATTAAGCAGAGTGTAAAATCAAAAAGTTAAAATGAAAACTTAAGAAGCATTTTTTAAAATATATTAAAGGAATTGAAGCCTGCTAATGTGTTGAATGACCGAGACCGGATTGCCCGCCTTAAACCTCAGCTGTCACAGCCGGGTGGATCTAAGCGAGCAGAGTCGACTCCCCTATTACCAGCTCTGCCAGGTTTTTCGTCTACCACCTTTATGCGTAAGTTAATTAACTCTGATAAGTTGCATGAAGGTGGACATTGCATAAGGTGAAATTAGTTTGGTAAAATGAATGAATGAATGATGATTCATGGGAAGCACTTTTCACCAAGAATATGAAGGTCACTGAAACCTTTCTGTTCATATTTAGATGTGATTCTATTGAGTATGGTATTATGATACATTGTGTCACTGAATTTCTTGAACATTCTTTTTTTTTTTCCACACAGTACGTTACTTTTTCGTTCTTTCAGAGAAAAGTGCTTCCCCACTCAATCAAAGTGGAGAAATTAGGTAATAGTGGTGAGATGGTGGCGATGGTAACACTTAATATAAATATAATTCAATCCTATTTAATTTTGTAATAGTGTCACCTTTCAGTGTGAAGAAAACATTGGGATTCCTCTACTGCAAGGAAAATTAGCTTTAGAAAAGTACAGTAGAACCTTTATAATGGTTGTGGTTTCAGGATCATTGCATTTTTTATTTTTGTTGTGAATTTTCAAACCATAATGAGTAAAATAAGCAGGTTCTCTAGTGTTAGTGGTTATGAAAATGTCTGACATGGATAAAAAAGTGACCATCTGTTAAAGTTGCTTATGATATTACATTTTGACCTAGAAAGACAAACTGGCTCACACTGAGGCAGGGTGACCTAAAAAGAAAAATGAAAGCTTCTCTTTTTGAATTTAGTAAGAATTTGCATAATTTGAAAAGATTGATAAATCATGATACGTGTTTGTGTGTTTTTATATGTAGTAGGTTGGTAGACAGCAACCACCCAGCGAGGTACTACCGTCCTGCCAAGTGAGTGTAAAACGAAAGCCTGTAATTGTTTTACATGATGGTAGGATTGCTGGTGTCTTTTGTCTGTCTCATAAATATGCAAGATTACAGGTATGTCTTGCTACTTCTACTTACACTTAGGTCACACTACACATACATGTACACGTTTATCTATACACACTCATCTGAGTTTTCTTTGATTTGATCTTAATAGTTCTTGTTTCTTATTACTTTTCCTTTTATATCCATGGGGAAGTGGAATAAGAATCTTTCCTCCGTAAGCCTTGCGTGTTGTAAAAGTAAACTAAAATGCCGGGAACAATGGGCTAGTGACCCCTTTTCTTGTAATAATTACTAAAAAGAATAAGAAAATTTTCAAAGTGGGATGTCTGAATGTGCGTGGATGTTGTGCAGATGATAAGAAAGAGATGATTGTGGATGTTATGAATGAGAAGAAGCTGGATGTCCTGGCTTTAAGTGAAACAAAGCTGAAGGGGGTGGGAGAGTTTCAGTGGAGAGGAATAAATGGGATTAGGTCAGGGGTTTCAAATAGAGTTAGAGCTAAAGAAGTAGCAGCAATAATGTTGAAGGATAAGCTATGGCAGGAAAAGAGGGAGTATAAATGTATTAATTCAAGGATTATGTGGAGTAAAATAAAGGTTGGATGTGAAAAGTGGGTTATAGTAAGCATATATGCACCTGGAGAAGAGAGAAGTGTAGAGGAGAGAGAGAGATTTTGGGAAATGTTGAGTGAATGAGTGGAGAGTTTTGAACCAAGTGTGAGAGTACTTGTGGCTGGGGATTTCAATGCTAAAGTGGGTAAAAATGTTGTGAAAGGGAGTAGTAGGTAAATTTGGGATGCCAGGGGTAAATGAAAATGGGGAGCCTTTAATTGAGCTATGTGTAGAAAGAGGTTTGGTAATAAATAATACATATTTTATGAAAAAGAGGATAAATATACTACAAGGTATGATATAGCACATAATGAAAGTAGTTTGTTAGATTATGTATTTGTGGATAAAAGGTTGGTAGGTTTCAGGATGTACACGTTTATAGAGGGGCAACTGATATATCGGATCATTATCTAGTTGTAGCTACAGTTAGAGTAAGAGGTAGATGGGACAAGACGAAAATGGCAACAACAAGTAAGAGGGAGGTGAAAGTGTATAAACTAAGGGAGGAGGAAGTTCGGGTGAGATATAAGCAACTATTGGCAGAAAGGTGGGCTGGTGCAAGTATGAGTAGTGGGGGGGGTTGAAGAGGGTTGGAATAGTTTTAAAAATGCAGTATTAGAATGTGGGGCAGAAGTTTATGGTTATAGGAGGGTGGGTACAGGAGGAAAGAGGAGTGATTAGTGGAATGATGAAGTAAAGGATGTGATAAAAGAGAGAAAGGTAGCTTACGAGAGGGTTTTACAAAGCAGAAGTGTTATAAGAAGAGTAGAGTATATGGAGAGTAAAAGAAAGGTGAAGAGAGTGGTGAGAGAGTGCAAAAGGAGAGTAGATGGAGTGGGAGAGGCACTGTCAAGAAATTTTAATGAAAATAAGGGAAAATTTTGGAATTAAACAAGTTAAGAAAGCCTAGGGAACGAATGGATTTGTCAGTTAAAAACAGAGTAGGAGAGTTAGTAGATGGGGAGATGGAGGTATTGGGTAGATGGCGAGAATACTTTGAGGAACTTTTAAATGTCGATGAAGAAAAGGAGGAGGTAATTTCATGCACTGGCTAGGGAGGTACATTCACCATCTTTTAGGAGTGAAGAAGAGCAGGATGTAAGTGTGGGGGAGGTGCGTGAGGCATTATGTTGAATGAAAGGGGGGTAAAGCAGCTGGAACTGACGGGATCATGACAGAAATGTTAAAAGCAGGGGGGATTTAGTGTTGGAGTGGTTGGTAATTTTGTTTCATAAATGTATGAAAGAGGTGAAGGTACCTAGGGATTGGCAGAAAGCATGTATAGTCCCTTTATATAAAGGGAAGGGGGACAAAAGAGATTGTAAAAATTATAGAGGAATTAGTTTACTGAGTATACCAGGAAAAGTGTACGGTAGGGTTATTATTGAAAGAATTAGAGGTAAGACAGAATGTAGGATTGTGGATGAGGAAGGAGGTTTTAGAGTGGGTAGGGGATGTGTAAATCAGGTGTTTACATTGAAGCATATTTGTGAACAGTATCTAGATAAAGGTAGGGAAGTTTTTATTGTATTTATGGACTTAGAAAAGGCATATGATAGAGTGGATAGAGGAGCAATGTGGCAGATGTTGCAAGTATATGGAATAGGTGGTAAGTTACTAAATGCTGTAATGAGTTTTTATGAGGACAGTGAGGCTCAGGTTAGGGTGTGTACAAGAGAGGGAGACTACTTCCCAGTAAAAGTAGGTCTTAGACAGGGATGTGTAATATCACCATGGTTGTTTAATATATTTGTAGATGCAGTTGTAAAAGAAGTAAATGCTAGGGTGTTTGGGAGAGGGGTGGGATTAAATTATGGGGAATCAAATACAAAATGGGAAGTGACAGTTACTTTTTGCTGATGATACTGTGCTTATGGGTGATTCTAGAGAAATATTGCAGAGGTTAGTGCCACATTCCTTTTATATGGTGGTCTGAGCAACTCAGGTCATAACATTCTCTGGACTGTGTTAAAGCTTTACACACCACTGGATGGAAGTACCCGCACTCTATCTCAAATCGACACTTTCACTTTCTCAACATGTTCGCACATTTTTTGTTGTGGTTATTTCAGCAAACTCTTCCATATAGGCACATACTTTTTGCATAGTATCTGCAAATGTTCTGACTGCCTATATTTACTGATTTTGTGTCTTTCCCAAGTTCTGCCACCTAATCTGAGTTCTCTTGTTCTCTTTCATCTAGGCATATTTCTTCCCTTTTTTCACATTCATTTGTCCATGCTCTAGCTATCTCTTCCTCTCTCTCCCTTCTGTCTGTGTTATGTACCCATGTTTTGTTCCTTTCTGACTTGCTCTGAATGACGTTCTCCACTCTTATTTCAACTCCTTGGTTTTACCTTTATCTGTGCTTTCTTCCTTTCTCTTGCTCCTTACCCCTTATTTTCTACTCTGTGTATATACTGGCAAGCTCCTTAGGAACTTTCGTACGTTTTCTAGGTTTTCACTTTTCAGTACCTCTCTTATGCCCGACCAGCTTTCCATCTCTAGAATGAAAAAAATATATCATTATGTAACGAGTGATAGAGGCCACTTCCGCTCCCACTCTGACCATATCTTCCCATTCTTCACCTTCTGAAAATGGAGTGTTTGTGAGGCTAACTGTACTAGATCACAGAACTGCATGCTGCACTGCAGCATGCAGTGCATAATGAGGAATAAAAACCTCTGATAGTGCTTTTGGATTAAAATGCTACTTTGAGGTGTATTATCGTATGGTATTTATGGTTGTATTCTCGTTTTCTTGGTCTCATTTGATAGAATGGAAGACATATTACAGAAATAGAGATGATTTTGATTGGTTTCACACTGAAAAGGGCCTTGAAATTGAGCTCAAAATAGTGGGAATGTTCTATTTTTGTCGATGTTCAAGAGTAAACAAATGATGTCATTGTCCAATAAGTGTCCAGTTAGCCATTCTAATACACGGTCAGGAATGGGTTGACATTATTTATACAATTATTACAATAATTCAGTAGTCTGCATAACAGTAAATCTTCTATTTTTTATTTTTTTTTTTATTATTATCACACCGGCCGATTCCCACCAAGGCAGGGTGGCCCGAAAAAGAAAAACTTTCACCATCATTCACTCCATCACTGTCTTGCCAGAAGGGTGCTTTACACTACAGTTTTTAAACTGCAACATTAACACCCCTCCTTCAGAGTGCAGGCACTGTACTTCCCATCTCCAGGACTCAAGTCCGGCCTGCCGGTTTCCCTGAACCCCTTCATAAATGTTACTTTGCTCACACTCCAACAGCACGTCAAGTATTAAAAACCATTTGTCTCCATTCACTCCTATCAAACACGCTCACGCATGCCTGCTGGAAGTCCAAGCCCCTCGCACACAAAACCTCCTTTACCCCCTCCCTCCAACCCTTCCTAGGCCGACCCCTACCCCGCCTTCCTTCCACTACAGACTGATACACTCTTGAAGTCATTCTGTTTCGCTCCATTCTCTCTACATGTCCGAACCACCTCAACAACCCTTCCTCAGCCCTCTGGACAACAGTTTTGGTAAT